CTTGGTATTCAAACAGCTTAGAACCCAAACACTGCAGACCCAGAATTAAGTGTTCCGGTTTGCAAACTTTTTCCGGAAGCCGAATGTGCTCCGTTTTGAGTGGTACGCTTCCGTTTTGAATGCCACACTTCCGTTTTGAGTGTTACGATGAGGTCAGTCTGTTTTTCCTTTTTATTTTGCGTTTTTGTATTTGTGGCTCTTTGGTTTTGTTTTAGTGACTGTGTGGAGCCCTGTTCAGCTACTGATTGATTGATTGATTGTGTGACTGCAGTACATTGTTTATTGCTTTCATTTTATGGATCGATGATCTCAGTAGAGAGTAAAATTCATGTTAAATTGATGTTTTAGGGGTTGCTTTTAAAAGTCTGGAACGGATTAATCCATTTTGCATTACTTTCTATGGGAAAGTGCACCTTGGTTTCGGAATGCTTTGGTTTTGGAACGGACTTCCGGAACAGATTACGTTTGAGAACCAAGGTACCACTGAATACAAATTTCTGAGATCTGCAGATGAAGGCTGGTATATAATTTCACTTACTGACTAAAGAAGTATCAACAACAACAATAATGCAAAGCATCAGGCTATAACCCTTAGGAAGGAACACAGTCAGGCCACTGGTCCATCAAGTTCAGTATTGTCTACAGTGGTACCTCGGGTTACATACGCTTCAGGTTACATATGCTTCAGGTTACAAACTCCGCTAACCCAGAAATAGTACCTCGGGTTAAGAACTTTGCTTCAGGATGAGAACAGAAATCGTGCTCTGGCAGCGCGGCAGCAGCAGGAGGCCCCATTAGCTCAAGTGGTGCTTCAGGTTAAGAACAGTTTCAGGTTAAGAACTTGGATTGGCAGCCACTCTCCAGAATTTCAGTCAGGGAATCTCCGGCAGAGCTACCTAACATGGAGGTTAGATTGTATCAAGTCATCAATGTGCATTCCTCCTTATTTGTTTGTGGGGAGGTTATATGCTATCTGCATTTGTCCTTCCTCATTCGCCAGCAGGGCGTTTATACACCCTCCTGTTAATTGTGGCATTTGGCCCAGAAATAGAGGCAACGACCAATTTATGCGCGTCTAATTGACGTGCGACCGCCTCGTTGCACTGAACCCGGAAGCAAGTTTTAAAATGGCAAAATAGCCCAGAAAGGGCAAGAAAGGCACATAAACAGTGCCTAGCAATCTCCCCAGCCTTTGCAAGTGCAATCCCAGGAGCCCTTCAGCCAATTGTTGAGGCCTGTGGAGAGTTGGGAGTTTGAGCAAAGAGGTTTGGAGGGAACGATTGCCAGTATTTGTGCCCGGCTGGTAAGTGCTTTTGGTTTTTAAGGGGTTTTTCAAGGGTTTCCAAAGGGTGTTTGCAGGATCTGCCAATGGTGTTTCAAATATACGCATGACCCCCGCATGAGATGGGAGTTGCCTGTTCCTCGCTTAGTCTTCTTCAGATCCACATGCAACAGCTCCCTTTCCGTGCAACATTAGAGACCCCCATCATTCAAGTCCTATTGTGGAGCAGGGAGTCTATTTCATCACTATGGTCAATGGAGCAGGCAGAAGCCACTCCAAGACTATCCCCTCTTCTAAGTGGCAGTGCATGAAATAAACCCTTTCCTAAACTGCAAGAAGGAGGGAAGGTAGGTGCTTCGTGAAGTTGTGCTTAGCCATCAAGTAGGTTGGAGCTTTTATATGCCTGTTGTCTTTGTCCATGGAGTTTTCTTGGCAGGGATGCTGGAGTGGCTTGCCGGTTCCTGCTCCAGGTGGATCACGATTAGTCAAAACTCTCCACTATGACCTGTCCATCTTGGGTGGCCCTGCACGGCATAGCTCATAGCTTCTCTGAGTTATTCAAGCCCCTTTGCCATGGCAAGGTAGTGATCCACGAAGGGGAAGTGAGAGCTGGACCATAAAGAAGGCTGATCGCCGAAGAACTGATGCTTTTGAATTATGGTGCTGGAGGAGACTCTTGAGAGTTCCATGGACTGCAAGAAGATCAAACCTATCCATTCTGAAGGAAATCAGCCCTGAGTGCTCACTTGAAGGGCAGATCGTGAAGCTGAGGCTCCAATACTTTGGCCACCTCATGAGAAGAGAAGACTCCCTGGAAAACACCCTGATGTTGGGAAAGATGGAGGGCACAAGGAGAAAGGGACGACAGAGGACAAGATGGTTGGACAGTGTTCTCTAAGCTACCAGCATGAATTTGACCAAACTGCGGGAGGCAGTGGAAGACAGGAGTGCCTGGCGTGCTCTGGTCCATAGGGTCACGAAGAGTCGGACATGACTAAACGACTAAACAACAGGTGGGAGCAGCACAAGAGATTTGTAATTGCTTCTGCTTGCTTCAAAGCCCAGAGCACGATGGAGCATCCTTCCTGTACCCCATATTTTTGGCTGCAAACCAGACTTGGGAGAGAGAAGCAGTCAGTGGTGGCCACAAATTACAGCTGATTAGTGAACCAAAAGGCAAGATTTGTGGATCCTTGCTAGAACACTTGGAGCTATGCAGAATGGTGGGATGTGGATTGGGAAGAGGTGGGTTCTAATCCTGGAATAAGCTCATAAAGATCTCTCAATGGTCTTGGGCAGACATAGGCAAACTCGGCCCTCCAGATGTTCTGGGACTACAACTCCCATCATCCCTAGCTAACAGGGCCAGTGGTCAGGGATGATGGGAGTTGTAGTCCCAAAACATCTGGAGGGCCGAGTTTGCCTATGCCTGGTCTTGGGTAAGTCACTCATCCCTTTCACGAGAATAACTTGCACCAGAAAAAAATAAATGGAATAATCCCATTTCTTCCACACTTAACTTCTGGGAAAGACCATGAGTTTTCAGAAGTCCTAAACGGCCTTGGCCCTGTATACCTGAAGGAGCGTCTCCACCCCCATCATTCAGCCCGGACATTGAGGTCCAGCTCCGAGGGCCTTCTGGCAGCTCCCACACTGCAAAAAGTGAGGTTACAGGGAACCCGAGAGGGGGCCTTCTCAGTGGTGGTGCCCATCCTGTGGAATGCCCTCGCATCAAATGTTAAGGAGATGAGTAATTATATGTTTTAATGTTTGATGTTTTATTTTGTTTTTATATGTTCTGGTAGCCGCACAGAGTGGCTGGGTCAACCCTGTCAGATGGGTGAGATTATTATTATTATTATTATTATTTACAAAGTATGATTATTTGAAAGAACTCATGGCGTAAATTAGGGACACTGCAGAGTCTCCACACCCTCCTCTCATGTCTACTAGATATGGAGAAAGAACATGATGCTCCTGATCCAATGTGATACACACCACCAATTATTAAAGCAAGGAGAATATTAGTCATCACAAGAAGTCTGCTTCCCACAATCTCATGGCAAGTATAAAGTATCCTTCAAAGCCCCTCCTGACCTATGTTGTTTGCAGGTATCTTTTGCAACATGTAACTGACACAACAATAGTGCACACTGGTGGTGGATTTATACTGGGTCATCCACACATCATTTCATTTTATTAGTTGTTCTGAATGCTTTCTCAATGTTATCACATCATTGCCATCTGGTGGGGCATTCCTGCACTATAGCACAGCAAAAGCAAGGGGGAAAAAAAACATTTGTGGTATAAAAAGTTATGGGATGTGCACTGATTGGAAATGAAACTATAACCACATTGGCATCATACATTTAAAGTGCTAAAGCACTTTAAGCAATCATGGCTTCCTGCAAGGAATTCTGGGAAATGTAGTTTGTAAAGGGAGAAGAGGGTTGTTACAACACCCCTAATGCCCTCCCAGAGCTGCAATTCCCAGAGTTCTGTGGCAAGAGAAACTGACAGCTAAACTGTAGCTCTGCAGTTGAGGGCAGGGGAGAATAGGAGCCTTCTCAGCACCCTTAACAAACTACACTTCTCAGAATTCTTTGGGGGACTGTTGAAAGTGGTACCACAGCGCTAAAGGTATGATGTGAATGTGGCCTATATCCTCCCTGAAAAGTTTGCAGGCACAAACAAGTGTCAGAAGCAGGGTTGCATGCAACTGCCCTGATAACCGTCATGAGCACCAATCTTCACGAACACGCCAGAAAAGGGACACTTGACACCTCACCACTTCCATGGGTTGCGATGGCTGAGCAGTCTTAGGAAGGGTAATCAGGGCAACATGAATTTTTGTTCCGAAAAGGATGCCTGAAGTTTGCTTGGGTCCAAATTCATTTGCAGAGTTCTGTGGCATTAAAAAGAACCCCCCACATCAGGGACGGGGTGGGGTGGGGTGGGGTGGGAAATCTCCTATGGCCATCCTTGTGCTTCTGATCTCCGATGACCCTCAGCCACACCTAGCATGGCCAGTCAGGGATCCTGGGGACACCAGTTCCTCATCCCTGTGGGTTGGGAAAATCAAAGGCATAGGTATGCCTGTATGTCAACAGCAGACTCAGCGATGCCCTGCACCAGGAGGGAACCTGCACACCCAACCTTGAAACCTAGAGTTGGAAGGGACCCCCTGCGAGGCAGGAACCTTCCTCCCGACGTAGGACTCGAACCCACGACCGTGAGAGGAAGAGCCTCATGGTTCCGTGGGCGGCGCTGTCTCCCCGCCCCTTTCTCGCCTTCCTGCCAAGGGCGGGGATGCTAACCTTCCCTGCTGATGCGGGCGGACCGGAGGAGCGCTTGGCAAAACTTCTCGGAGTCCCCCCAGCCTTCCACCGACAAGGAGGGCGCGAGGCAGAGAGGGGCCCGGACGGGGCGAGTCGCCTACCCTTCTTGTCCCGGTCCCCTCATCACAAGCCTGTTGGTCGGGTTGTGGGGGTGGATGCGGGAAAAATAAAGAGAAAGAGAACTTTTTCTTCCCAGCCGGCCAACTTCAGGGCAAAGGGCGGCGGGATCTGGGTGGAGCGCCTTGCGCTTGGAGGTGGGGAGGAGAGCGGGGGCGTCCCGTCGGGGGACGGCTCCGCTTGCCTCCACCCCCAGGGAAGCCAAGGGGGCTGGCAGGCTCCCCGGGAGCCCCGGGGAAAGAGGGATTCCCCCTTCCTTCTACCTTGCTGAACACTTCCAGGTCCTCGTCGTCGTCGAACTCCAGCAGCTCCGCGGGCACGGGGCGATCCGGGTCCGGGGGCCACGTCGGCGGCTCGGTAGGGGCGGCAGCCTGCCCGCCGCCAGGGGGAAGGCAGGAGGAGGCGATCGGCGGCGGAGGCGAGCCGGGCGCGCAGCGATCAGCCTCCATCCCTCCCTCCCTCCGTCCCTCTCCGGCTGGTGTGCGCGCCCCGCCCGGGAGGCGGGCACGATCCCCGGCGGGCGCCCCTCCTCTCGGCGCCGCAATTGGTCGCCGGAGCGCTTCTCCAGCCCTTTCCTGCCACTGCGCAAGGACTGGAGGAGGGCGCGGGGCGGCCGGGAAGGAGCCCGAGGGGTCCCCGTGGAAGGGATCCACGCAGAACGCGAGACGAGATCAGCCCCGGCACCTATTCTCCGTGCCCGGCGCGCGCCCAGCCTTACACCTTAAGGAGGGTGGGAGAGGAAATAGGCGGGGGCAGCTATACCCGGATTGCGCCTGGCTGGGTTTCAGGGTTTCGCGCACGCACCTCTCTGACTCACTCTCTCTCTCTCTCTCTCTCTCTTTCTGTGTGTGTGTGTGAGAGAGAGAGAGAGGGGGGGGGGGCAGAGCAGCAGTCAGTAGTTCAACAGGTGAAGGCTGGCTGTCACGCGGCAGTTAAAGCACACGAGAGATGATTGGGAAGAAGGGAATGCCAAGGTCTTGGGCTGGCAGAGGAACAGCAAAGGCGTTTTGGGTTATGTGGCTCTGTCAAACTTTTGAGTCCCCTCCCTCCAGTGCATGTCCTAGGAAACACCAGTTTGATGCCTTGTAGGATAAAAACTGCAACGACCTGCAACTTTTATTCATTTTAGCTTTTAATTAATGAAGCCCAAAATAATGAAAATGATAGATATAGATATAGGTACAGTGATACCTCAGGTTACATACGCTTCAGGTTACAGACTCCGCTAACCCAGAAATAGTGCTTCAGGTTAAGAACTTTGCTTCAGGATGAGAACAGAAATCGTGCTCTGGCAGCACGGCAGCAGCAGGAGGCCCCATTAGCTAAAGTGGTGCTTCAGGTTAAGAACAGTTTCAGGTTAAGAACAGACCTCCGGATCGAATTAGGTACTTAACCCGAGGTACCACTGTATATTGATGCTTTTGAATTACGGTGTTGGAGGAGACTCTTGAGAGTCCCATGGACTGCAAAAAGATCAAACCTCTCCACTCTGAAGGAAATCAGCCCTGAGGACAGATCCTGAAGCTGAGGCTCCAATACTTTGGCCACCTCATGAGAAGAGAAGACTCCCTGGAAAAGACCCTGATGTTGGGAAAGATTGAGGGCACAAGGAGAAGGGGACGACAGAAGACGAGATGGTTGGACAGTGTTCTTGAAGCTACCAGCATGAGTTTGACCAAACTGCGGGAGGCAGTGGAAGACAGGAGTGCCTGGCGTGCTCTGGTCCATGGGGTCACGAAGAGTCGGACACAACTAAACTACTAAACAACAACAACAACATTGTGTGTGTACACAATGTTGCTTTTCAAGACCAATACATAATCACTACACACTACACACAAACACAGTTTTACAGGGAAAACAGAATTAAAAAAGTTTTACTCTGCCCCGCAAACCTGATTTGAAAGATGTGTCTTCACACTGTATCTTTAGGCCAGGGGTTGGGACCATTTGGGGCTCCGGTGGGTCTGATCCCTGCCCACCCCTAATGGGCCAACTTGGACAAGTGGGGGGGGGGGTTGTTAGGTTGTTCTTGTTCTTATTTTTATTATGTATTTTGTGATTTTATCTTGTGAACCGCCCTGAGACCTGTGGGTTTAGGGCAGTATACAAATTTAATACATAATAAGAATACTAATAATAACGTGGGCAGGACCATTCACCCATCAATCATCTGATGTCAGAAGCACTTCCCAAACGCTCAGCAATCAGATGGTTGTCAGGCGCTTGCACTTAAGAGTCCTGAGTCTAGAAGGGAGTTCCATAAAGGAAGCAACTCTTCCCTGTGCCACCACCACACACCCCATGCTTGGTGATGGGATTGTAAGGGGAGCCTCCCCAGCAGTGTCTATTATTATTATTATTATTATTATTATTATTATTATTATTATATTAGTTGACAAAGTCAGGGACGCGGGCGGCGCTGTGGTCTAAATCACTGAGCCTCTTGGGCTTGCCGATCAGAAGGTTGGCAGGTCGAATCCCCGCGTTTGAAACCATGCCAGTGCAAGTAGATAAATAGGTATTGGAGAATAGATGCTGGGGAAGGTAAACAGCATTTCTGCGCTCTCTGGCTTCCGTCACGGTGTCCCATTGCACCAGAGGAAGTTTAGTCATGCCGGCCACATGATCCAGAAAGCTGTTTGTGGACAAATGCCACCTCCCTCAGCCTGAAAGCGAGATGAGCACTGCAAGCCCATAGTCGCCTTTGGCTGGATGTAACCGTCCAGGGGTCCTATTACTACTACTACTAGTACTATTACTACTATTTTAAGGAGCCTGGGGTGGCAAGACACAGGCTGGCAGATAATCAAAGAGTTGCTCCTTCTGGTACTTGTGATTTTACAAGTTAGCAACAAAACATTGAATTGGGGCCGGTAGCATATCAGGAGCAATTGCAGTTTGAGTAGGACTGGTTTTATATGGCCTGAATGGAAGCACCACTCACAAGTTTGATTGGTTTCCTGCAAAGTTTCCCCATAAGTAAACCAAGTCAATATCCCAATGCTATTACATGATTATTGCATTATTATTAATAGTATTAATTCATATTTTTTATTTATGCATTTTGTACAACTTTTATTCCTTTTCCTAGGACTTCCCAGTCCATTTCTCCATGTCCTTTTAAGCAAACCTTAGTCAGCTGCATATCTCAATATTCCAGCCGTTTCCCTCTCAAATCTTCCTTTATTTTATGTTAACTGCTGCCAAATGTTAACTCCTACTTGTAGGTTAAATTGAATAAGGTACCCTCTACAATATTCTCCAAAACACTTCCACTCTTATCTGTCACTCATCCTTGTTTCTTGGTTTCGCGGTCATTGTTAGAAGTTTTGTGTATTCTATCTTTTTATTCTATCAGGTTTCTTTCGCAGATACCTCTTTTCCTTTCCACTTTTTCGCATATACCACCCCATAGAAGTATTAATTCAATTTATAGCCCACTCTTCCTCCTGAAGGAGCCAAAGGTGGCAAACACATCAATAAGCAAACATTTCTTTTTTAAAAATTCTAAAAGCAGGTAAAATCAGTTACTGTATTTTTCGCTCTATAAGACACACCCGACCATAAGATGCACCTAGTTTTGGAGGAGAAGAACAAGAAAAAAAATGTTCTCTCCCTCTCTGCTCAGCAAAGCGGTAGGAGAAATGGAAGGGGCTCAGTTTCTCCTTCCGCTTCGCTGAAGGGGTGCTGCGCAGAAAGGGAAAGCTGCACAGCGGCTCTCCAGCAAAGCGAAGCCAGGAGAGCAAGAGAGATCGATCCCTCTTGCTATCCTGGCTTCAGTGAAAGCAACGCAAAGCCTCCGGAGGCTTCCAGCAGCTATCCCTGAAGCCAGGAGAGCAAGAAGGGTCAGTGCGTTGCTTTCACTGAAGCCATGGATGCTGCATTCGCCCCATAAGACGCACACACATTTCCCCTTACTTTTTAGGAGGAGGAAAGTGTGTCTTACAGAGCGAAAAATACGGTATCTCATGGTTTCCAGGAAGAGTGTCTCAGCCATCAAATGTCTGGGCAACCAGAAATGTTGATACATTTCTCCTGCATTTCAGTAATGACAGAGGCAGATACATCTCACCAGGGAGGGCAATTTGGAAATGGGGAACCACCACTGAGACTAGTGGAAGGTTTTTATATATGCTGTGTTTTTATATAAGCTGTAAGCGGCTGGGGAAACCCAGCCAGATGGGCGGGGTATAAATAATAAAATGGTTGTTGTTGTTCCTTTGGAGGGTCTCTGTTCAGTTATGCCACTGCTACAGACTCACTGTTGTGTAATTTCTTTATTGTTTTCACACAGTTCATTCTAGATATCACATTGGGAAATTAGCCTTCCTGACAGAAGTCCAGCCTTTTGCATCAGACACCTATGGCCCACACATCAAATGCTTGTGTGTTCATGTTTCCAAGTGATTGGCTGTGAACTGAAATACCCAGCTTTGCATTTTTGGAGTGCCAGTAGTGACATTTTTTTAATCTTCTCTGCATAGCTCAGGCCACGATTTGTGCTATCTGAAGCATCTCTGAATAAACAAAGCATCCGTCTGTAGGATTTAAACCTCTAATCCAGTGTTTCCCAAACTTTTTTGGGCAACGGCACACCTGTTTACTGAAAAAAAATCTCACGGCACACCACCATTAAAGCCCCGCCCCGTGACGTCAGCGCGCAGCGTCACGCCGGGAGGGACGCAGGAAAGTGAAAGTTTTTTCCCTCCCCCTTGCCGGGGAACCTCCAAGCTTTGGGGGTGGGAGGAGGCAGCAGAGCGAGGGACTGAGGGACGGCGGCAAGTCCCGCCCCCTCGCCAGACTCCCTGCTCGGCTCGGCTCACTAGCCAGGCGGCCAGTGGAGAGAGAGCCGCAATTACCATAAAGCTCCTCTCCCTCCGCTTCGCCAAGCTGTCAAAGCCCGGCAGCAGCAGGCGCAGCCAGACCCCCGCCAGCCAGCCCGCCCGCCCGGCTTCCTCTCCTTTTTTTGCCCGCGGCAGAAGGCTTTGCTCTCCCCCTTCTGCGACCTCCTCGCCAAGCCGAGCGAGCGCGGGCTCCCTAACCCGTGGATTTTAGTAGGGGCAGAGAGCTGCTAGTGCGAGTGCGCCCCCCGCCCATGTTGCGCCCGGTGCGGCTGGCACCCCTGGCACCCCCCACGCTACGCCACTGGCGGCAACTGAGGCGGCGGCGGCTGTTGTGGTGGTGGCGGCGATAGCGGGCGGAGGAGGGGGCGGCGGCGGGGCTTGAGGAGCCGTCGCTGGGAGTTGCTGCTGCTGTTGTTGCTGCTGCTGCCCGGACATGCCGGCCTCCTCCTCCTCCGCTGTCTCGCGCTCCTCCCTTTTGCACGCGCTGCCCCGCCGCTCGGCACCACCACCGCGGAGCCGCCCCCGGCTCGACGCGGATCCTCGCCGCCGCCGCCTCTCACCGCCCGACTCGCCCGCCTCCCTCCCACGGCACACCAGCCAATGTCTGACGGCACAGTAGTGTGCCGCGGAACACCGGTTGGGAAACACTGCTC